CCGCGCTTTTCGTACACTCTGTCATCTTCTTCAGCACTCTCCACATTTTCCCCTTGATCCCGTATTTGGACAGTTGTTTCCACAACCCATTTCTCCACACGGTGTCGTATGCCTTTTTCACGTCCAGGAAGAAGCAGTACGTCGGCTTTCCCGCCCTCTTTCTACCTTGGATGATTCTCCCTACCGTGAACACGTGGGCGAACATTGGGGAGGGGGCAGAAGCTTACAGAAAGGCCGCTTACGATCATTTTCACTGATAATTTGAGTATACTGAAAATAGTAGTTTGGGCAGCTTGAGGACTGATCGTAAGGTCTACAAGTTTAACCTGCCCTACCGACCGCACCGCGACCACACATCAACCCCTCCATGACCCTCTCTTTGCCCATCGTACTGTCGCGGGCTGCCTTCATGGCCTAGGTGGGGATAGCTGTTGCGTCTACAGAAGTACACTTGTCTCATTTTACTGCACTTCTGCCTCTTTCCGTCACTCTCTCCCCCTTCTTTTGATTTTTGCCGAAAATATAAAGCTAGACTCAAAGGGGTTAAGAAGTATTCTGTGTTTCCAACCTAACTGAGACTGACGCATTTTCATTGGTCAGCCGGTTGGCGTGGTGGATGCCCCCTCAGCTCCCTGATCATGGCCCTCTGTTTTCAACCGCATAATAGACTGGCTTCTATTCATCCGTCACCGTTTATCGCGGTCGATGCTAATAAAAACAGTTGTACCTTTGTGTTGGCTGGTAGTTAGCGGTGGAGGCCGTTCGGGTGTTCTGTGCCCTTCTGTTTCCAGCCGGCTCTTCGACTTTGAGAGTCTTGCATGTTCTTGGAAGCAGCAGTAACATTATTTCCAGCACTGCAGTAGTGAGTAGAACAATGAAGAACACCTTGCTTGGTCACAGGTCACAGGTCACAGGTACCCGTAGACTGCAGTTTCGAAAACGCACGTCTGTACACTCCGTGGTGGCGCTTGCTGCACGCTGGAGGAACAACAACACGCCCTCAGAAAGTTTTGAACCGCTGAGTAAAGTGGGTACGCCAATCAAGTACTACTGCTGCAACAATCTATTAGGTGGGACGCCGTTGTGGCTCGAATCGCTTCTGTCGGTCCCATTTGCCCTCTCAACTCAGAGCAACATCCGCCACCTGTTTGTTGATTTTTTGTTTTCTATTGCCATCGACTCCCACGTTTGTTCCGCTATGCTGCTGCTGCTGCTGCTGCTGCTGTTTTTTATCGCTGCTCGGGTCTTGATTACTCATATTGCAATATTACACCTCCTCCCTGGCTCTCACCCTTCGCGAGGCACAGACATACACGCGCTGTGGCACATAGCTAACAAGCACTCACGACCCGCAGCACAGCTGCACAGAGGCGGGACGTTGGACGGAACATGAATGTAGAACAAATAGTGACAAGTAGGTGTTTTTCCGTTCATCACCTGTCTCTTTGATTTAATTCCCTCCCGTCATGGGTGCGCCCCCCCCGGTGTTTGCCATCGGGGTTGGGTTTTCGTCGCGTGGCAACGACGTTGCAAAACAAGCCGCCCCCCCCCGGTGTTTGCCATCGGTATTGGGTTTTCGTCGCTTGGCGATGACGTTGTAAAACAAGCCCCCCATCGGTGTTTGCCATCGGCGTTGGGTTTTCGTCGCTTGGCAACGACGTTGTACAACAAGCCAATTCACTTCGTGAGCTCGGCAACCAGGTTACCGTTTTTTTGTTTTACCTCTGTTTTGTTTTTGGCGGTAACCATAATGGCGGTGGAGTGGATCATGTTGTGTGGGGTGGAGAAGCCTCACTCCGCGCAAGGGGAATGATCGCACCACGTTGTGTCAATATGATCAAGCACCCTCGAGGCAGTCGTACAGTGCTTACAAATGTTTCAGGAAGTGAAAGCACAAGGAAATATAGTAAGTCATACGCAGCTGTCATCCGTACGCAAGGAAGTAAGCACAAGATGCCGAACACCCTTAGCAGGATGCAGCGCACCCTTCATGCGACTCGCCGAATATCTCACGGCGCTTCGCGCTTGGTGATGTGAGAGCCTGGTCCGGTGAGAACCCGGCGTGCTCCGTCCCGGCTTTGTAGGGATGCGAGGTCAATGGTCTAACGACTACGGCATGCACGACTATGAGTACACCCCCCCCCCCCCGGTGTTTGCCTATCGGGATTGGGTTTTCGTCGCTTGGCAACGACGTTGTAAAACAAGCCAATTCACTTCGTGAGCTCGGCAACCAGTACACCTTTTGTTTTTTCACCTCTGTGTGTTTTTTTGGCGGTAACTATAATGGTGGTCGAGTAGATCATGTTGTGCGGGGT